ATGGAAGAACATTCGTGATATTTTGAGCCAGCGATTGGGTATCGGTACATTTGCTTAGAGAACGCTTTACGGAGTTGTCGGCATGTGAAATTTTATCCTCATGGAGCTGGTCCAGTTCGTGTGTTGGAGCACATAAATGATAACGCATACCGCATTGCACTTCCGGAAGACTTAGGCGTGAATGTTATTTTCGTTGTTGCCAATTTGAGCCTATTTGATTACACTGAAGATACTACTAGCCTTGAGGATAATGCAGCCGAAGGGGGAGAGGATGACACAACCCCGGATTACCAGAACCCGACCTTAGATGGACCGATTGCAACCCTAACTCGGTCGAAGTTACTTGTTTGCTTACAGGTTGTGATCCTATGATCTTAATCAAAATGTATTGCTTAGATTAGCTTGCCACTTAAGATGTGTGGCTTAGATTAATTTGAAATTTAGTATATATAGCCTTGTTTATTTTCTAGATGGACACGTAACCTAGATATGAGAACAATTTGAGAGGGTTTACCATAGCTTTGGAGAGATTCCTTAGAGTTGGAATGATTTCATCCGCCGAGATGACAAATCGATTGTTTGAACTTCGGATGCAACTGCGTAAGAGACGGAAGATGCATCGGCAACCTCGGACAGTCCGTAGATTCTCGAAACTGCTTGCTTGAGAGGAGTGATTGCTTTAGGAATTCGATTTATCCTATTTTCCTTTCGATTCATCATTTGTAAGTTTCCAGAATATATTGGATACTTTCTTTTCGAGTTTGATTCATGGAGATGATCCTAAGCTATGTCAATGGGTAATGTGCATGGAGGTGACATTAGCGGTAAGTATATGAGGGGTCGAGGTGACCGGTTGGGAGGAATGTAAAAGACGATGATCAGGTGTCATGTGGTTTCAACATACAGAATCAATGTACCATGTGATGTTACCTGATGTCGAGGCTAAGGAAGGGGAGAGTAATACAACTTGAGTGATCATGTGATGGAGGTCCTCAAGAGTAGGAGGTAGCTTAGGCGACTGTGATACGCTATTGGCAACAACAATGACAGAGGAAGAGCCAAAAGAGGAGAATTGACCAACCTTGGGACTATTGGGACAAAGCGGACGGATATGGCCCTTTTGATGACAGTAGTGACACTAAACCTTAGGGTGGTGAATAAAAAGATGATCAACATTCGGGCAACGTTGACATTTATCAGACTGAGGTGGTAGGGTATCCTTGCGATTATCTCGGCGATAAAGAGTAGAAGAGAAAACTATGAAGGCCAAATCAATGGTGGGAGACTTGAGCATCCTGAGATGGGTGTCCTCAAGAAAAATCTCCTTCATCGATGTCTCCAAAGAAGGTAAGGGATGACGATGAAGCAAAAAAGTATGCACAAACTCATATTCTGGACCAAGCTTCATCAAGAGCTAAATCAACCAAAAGTACTCAATCTGTAAATCTGTCTCATCAATGCAATCCCACATAAACTATATAGTATAAAGGAACTCATTCATATCATGGCGCGAGTCATGTATCAGTGCATTCAATGACCCGATAAGCTGATATTAATGCATTCCCCCAGTGGCCTGATATCAATGTTGCAAATAATTCTAAGCTTTCTTAGAAGTGTCCATTTGGCAAAGTTGAATCTGAATGGAATTGGAAGAGGTATTCCAAATCCAAGTAAGAATAATGTGATTTTTACTATCCTGCTCATTAAAGGCATTCCGATAATCCATGAGCTCGTTATTGGTGAGGGGCTCCGTAGAGGTGACGGCAAGAGCAACCGGTGCAGAAAAGTCGCAAATAATATAGCGCCATAACCTTTTACCAATCAAGAAGCTCTTCATGGAGTTAACCCATAAATCATAATTAAAATAGTATAGCGCGTGCAAAAGAATTGTGCAGAAAATCAGAGCAAGCCAACCCAGTAAAACTCGCAAAATAAATTCGAATGAGATGGCAAAACCGATCAGACTAGGACATCAGGAATCGAAGCAAGAGGCAGCGGCCGGAAACCACTAGACACGCCCTCACGGGCGGCGGGAAGGCGGCAGCGCTGGGAGGAGTCCGACACCTATTTGCGTTGGAGGGGTGTGCGGTCGCCACGCGCCAGCGTTGGTGGTGAAACTCTGGTGGCCAGCCGGGCTAATGTCTTTTCGTAACGGGTTAATGTTCCGCAACAATATTTGCGTCATAAAAAGTGGTTTATGTTACGATTTATGTCGAAACAAAAAAAAAAACGGGCGGTGGTCAACCTTTTTCTTTTTGTTACAAAAATTTATCCGTACCAAATACAATTTTGACAAATTGTTATCTTACATATATTTGTTACGTGGGCAGACCGTAACAAAAAAAATAAGTATTATAAATTAAAAAATTTCTGAAAATTAAATCTAAAAATAATTTAAAAACTAATTCAATTCAAGCTTTTCATTACTTAATAATTATTAAGAGAAGTTTTTTTAAATTAAAATAAATTCAATATAAAATTTATTACCAAAAAAAAATTAAAAATGAAGAAGCGTGAATGCGCTTTTATGTTTCTGCCAACGTTTACATATACAATAAATCAAATAAAATTATTCTAAGTGTTTCTCTCCCTAGACGAATTTACAGAGAAGCCTCAGACTCGCGCCTCCTTTGCCTCCACCGTCGCTCCGCCGTTGCCTCGCCTCCACCTTCGCGCCGCCGTTGCTGGTGGACGGCAGCCCAAAATTCACCCTAAGCTAGCGACCTTTGTCACGTAGGTTCGAAGGCGGTCGTTCGGGGTACGTTTTAGGGCGCATAATCGATGGGTGAGTTAAAATGATTTGTTAACCTAACGTCTTTGTGTGTTTGAGGATTTTTTATATAGTGTAATACTCATCTACTTGATGTTCATTTGTTCGATGAAGTTTTTGCAATGTAGGTTTTTGGATTTAAAACCTAGTTTTTCCATTGACTGCGCAAAAATCGATTTTGTGGCTTTTGGATTTCGTTATAGTTGAAATTATTTTGTTAGTAATTACAAAAATGTAATGGAGGTACAAAAGAAGTGGTATTAGGGCTTCCTCAAGTTTTTGGACGGAATTACTGTAATGTTTGAATTTTTGAAGGGGATTAGCAGGATTTGTATAAAACAAATCGTATTAGCTAGTTCATAGTGCAGAGCTTTTTTAGATATGTTTAAGAAGTAATTTTTTTTTGTCTCAATCTACTCCCAACACCATATTGCTGGTTTGCCACTTTCAAACTCTCGAGTTGCAATTGGGAAACTACAAGCTTGATATTCAAGTTGGTGAAGTCGGTGGTGATGATTAGCATGCAATGGACTGCCACGTTCTTGGCTGTGGATGGCATTGCACTGCTTCAAACAATCATAAGTCCAAAAAGATTTTTGAACTTCAGTTTTTTTATTGCCGAGGTATCTGATTTAAGCAAAAAGAGGAATTAATCATTACTTGTCTCTTTGAAATTTCCCGATCTTCATATAGAGAATGGAGTGCAACAAATATGAGGCTATACGGGCAAGGTCAATTGTTCAGCACAAGATGGAAGAGAATGTGTTTGAAGCTGCTCCAAAGTTTGTTTTCAAAGCGCAAAACCTTTCCCCAGGACTTGACAGTATTAGCCAGTTGCTAAGCATTTGTGATGTTCAGTGTTCAACTCAAAATAGATTATGATCTGAAAAGGATTGGTATGGAATCCTGCAAGTTGAGAAGCTAACTGATGAATCGAAGATCAAGAAACAATATTTGCGGTCGGGCCTCAGTCTTCATCCCGACAAGTTAACCAATTTCCTAGAGCCGAGGGTGCTTTTAAGTTGATTTGTAAAGCGAATTCAAAGCTTTCAGATCCCTACAAGAAATCTATATATGACAATAGTATTAGATTGATAAGCTGATCTGATATTATCAGTTCAGCTTATCAGCACAAAAACAGTGCTCAAAACAATTTTTCTAAGGGTTATAGAAATCAGAATCAAAATCAACCTGCGACTCAACCAGCATCCTCAGGAACACTATGATTTTATCAGTTCTGAAGATAAGAAATTTTAAAAAGAGTGTGTTGTAACTTCCATTGTCATTATTTTGGAGGTTCTGAAATTTGGTTTCACTTTTATTTTTTACAATTTATTTGCCCTCTGCTTCTGAGCTTATGTGATTACTGCAAGTAGTAGATATATACTTGGTTATGAATTCACACTGTATTTCTGATTCTCCAATAGGAATGGTGTCCAGTGGCAGAAAATTTTGTGCGTGAAGGTGCTTAGGGGGTCGGTATTATCTTTGGAGATCACCTACGGGTAGAGGACCGTACTCGTACCCGTGCCTGCTTCTGCCAAATAACTTCTATACGTTATTCATTCCTTCTCTTTTATTTTATTGCCTTAAAAGGTGTTAATTGAACTTCATAACAATATGATAATTATAGTGGTACATCCCTATGCTTAGAGCTTATAGGGTATATGGGTTTGGAGATAAGTTTCCTTTTGGAGAGATCGAACAAACATGATTCTGCTATCATTTTTGGTTTTGAGGGGCTGTTATTTTTTCATACTTTAAATTCGGCCCCATTGGAGGCATATGTCTTATTTTTGGTTCTTTATTTTCATCTAGTGTCTTCTTTTGATCCGGTTAGTCTTATTTCTTTAGTTAGTTCATAACAACTAAATAATATTTGTTTCATAACGGTGTTTTTCGCATGTCTAATGCAAGGGCGGTGTTTTTCAGTTTGTTGCAGTTGTATTTTTTATTTGCTTGCTGATACATTACACACTATGCATTGTATTACATTACCGGCTGTTTTATTGTAGAACATATTGATGAGTTATGAATTGTTTAAGGAACATGCAAGCTTTCTTACAAGGATAGCCATCTTCATATCCACATATAATTGAAAGTTGAAACAGATAAGTCAAATTATTGTCGCACAACCGATACATACATAACTAGCATATAATGTGTTGTCATTACCCCGTAACTACGTTGGTGGCTGCTTGATTGGATTGTTTCTAAAATTGTTTATTAGATGGATAGGACTTGGATAGAAGAATCCGACTACACTTCCAATAGATACTTTGACGGAGTGATCCAATTCTTAAGCTATGCTTTCACCGGAAAAACACTGGAATCAGTTGTGCACTGCCCCTTTAAAATTTGTGGCAATCGTGCAAGTTATAGCCGTAGGGAGATCTTGCTCCATTGTATCAAGTATGGGTTTGACACCTCTTACAAGGTGTGGACTTGGCATGGGGAAGCGGGGAGTGAGACGACCACTAGCAACTTGGTTGAAGATGAGATGACTTCGCAACGGGAAGATGAACTAGACTTGCTTCTGCGCGAGTGTGTTTTCTCACACGACGTAAATCCAGAGAACAGTCATGCAAACATAAATGATGTGGATCCTGCAGAGGGGTTAGAGAGCGGTAAGAAGGGATTGAAAGACATATTAGAAGATCTGCAAAAGGACCTAATACCGGGGTCTAAGAAATTGAGTAGGTTATCATTTATCGCACGCCTTATGCATTTGAAGGTTTTGTGTCAATGGTCAAATAAATCATTTGACCTTCTGCTTGCCTTGTTGAGGGATGCTCTACCCGATGATGTGGTGTTGCCGAAGAATTACTACGAGGCAAACAAAATAACAAAAGAGTTGGGATTTACTTGTAAGACTGTGGACGCATGCATGAACAATTGTATGTTATTCACCGGAGAGGATGCAGATCTTCAGGCATGTGTTGTATGCGGTGGAAGGAGGTTTGTCGAAGGGAGCTCCACCGTGTCTGTAAAAAAGATGAGGTATTTTCCATTAATTCCCCGTTTACAGCGAATGTTCTTGTCCTCCAAAACAGCAGCGTCAATGCGGTGGCACGCTGAATCTCGTGTTGATGATGGCGTTTTGCGGCACCCGGCTGATAGTTTGGCATGGAAAAGGTTTGATCTTCGAAATCCATTATTTTCCAATGACATTCAAAATGTACGATTGGGATTGGCGTCCGATGGCTTCAATCATTTCGGTAACATGAGTGTTAATTATAGCATTTGGCCAGTGGTGCTCGTGATCTATAATTTACCCCATGGTTATGTATGAAACAACCATCATTCCTCCTTTCTACAATAATAGACGGTCCTAAAGGGCCGGGAGATCGGATCGATGTGTTTTTGCAGCCTCTTGTGGTTGAGTTGAAGGAGTTGTGGGACATTGGCGTGAGAACATTTGACGCAGTAAGTCAACAGTACTTCCAAATGCGTGCTGCCTTACTATGGACCATTAGTGATTTTCCAGCTTATGCTATGTTATCTGGATGGCCGACACGCGGGGGAAATGCATGTCCAAATTGTGGTGTACGGACGCACTCTACATATTTGAAGAATGGGCACAAATTTTGCTACTGTGGCCATAGGCATTTCTTACCTGATGGGCACAGGATGCGACGTGATTGGCATTCCTTTGATGGAACGATGAACTTTGAGCCCAGCGTCACACGCATAACCGTGGCCAAGTTACATGATCAGTTGAGGGATGTTTCTACTGCCTACCGTAAGGAGGATTTGGTTGCGCAACAAGCGGAGCAACAATCTAGAAAACGGCGTCGGGGAGAACAAAGACAATCATCCACATGGAAGAAAAAAAGCATTTTTTTTTAATTACCATATTGGGCTGATCATGATATACGACATAATCTGGACTTGATGCACATTGAAAAGAATGTTTGTGAAAATATCTTGCATACATTGTTAGGCACTAAGGGGAAGACAAAGGACAACCTTCGTACGAGGAAGGACTTGCAATTGATGAATATACGGAGTTCTTTGCATCCAGTTTCCAAGCCCAATGGTAGGGTTTACTTACTGGCAGCCGCGTACACCATGTCGTGTTCCGAAAAAAAACATTCCTATCAGTTTTGAAAAATTTGAGACCCCCAGATGGTTTTAGTTCTAATTTAGCTCGTCAGGTCAGAATAGAACAACAAACAATATGGGGGTTGAAGAGCCATGATTGCCACATTCTAATGCAGCGAATCCTTGGTGTTGCAGCTAGACGGTACATTATGCACTACCCAACCCATCGTTCTGTACTATTGGCACTACAGTTGCATGACTTTGTGAGAGATGATTTTTTTCTATTCTTGTAGGGCTTTACCCAAAGACGTTGTCGTTGTGTTGATGGAACTTTGCACCTTCTTCAACTTAATGTGTTCAACAAACAACACAGTACGGGATCTTGAGAAGCTACAAGATAGAATTGCTCTGACGTTATGTCACTTAGAGAAACTATTCCCACCTTCTTTCTTTGATGTCATGGAACATCTTCCGATTCACTTACCAGAGGAGGCGATGATTGGAGGACCTGTTCAGTATAGGTGGATGTATCCAATTGAAAGGTATTTAGGTACTCTCAAGAGATATGTACGGAACCGTGTGAATCCGGAGGGTTCAATTGCACGTGGATACCTCGTGGAAGAGTGTATGACATTCTGTTCGAGATATGTTGGGGATTTAGAGACTAAAGAGAATCGTGTTGTGGGACATGACGATCTTGGAGAAATAAGGGGGCGTGGTCTTTTTGGGTCCCGGAGTAACCTCGATTCCATCACTTTGCAACAAATACACGGATACATATTAGGCAATGTCGAAGTTATTGGTCCACTCAGAAGGTATGTATCTTCAATAGAGGATATTTTGTCTTATTATGGGTTACCATGTCTAAAATCCTTGGGGACTCCCCTTCTTTCATCCCCAGTGTGCATCTTGAAAGTATTAAGAGAATGCGACCCAATGCAAGCCCCCGAGAAGTGCAGCAGATTCACATCAAACAATTTCCAGGGTGGTTTCAAACCTATGTGGGTACAAAAATATCACAATTTAGAGTTGGGGTTACAGTCAATAACAAATTCACTGCGAAAGTAAATACACTTAACTTGTCTGTAGGTAGAGGATCCTACCGACAATGTCGATGGCACAATCACTGCGCACATGAAGACACTAGCACAAGGACCTTACACGCATGCAACAAGATTCACGTCTTGCATCGTCTCTGGAATCCGGTTTCGAGTTAAATCAAGGGACGAAGGAAAAAAAACTCAGTGTGCTGGTGTGATGGTCAATGCAGAGACAATTAGCTATGCAAGTGCAAGTGACCTAAATCCTCGGGCAGGTTCGGTCGCATATTACGGGTTAGTAACTGACATTATAGAGGTGGAGTACAGTAATGAAATCCATTTCCTTCTATTTAAACGCGATTGGGCTGACCCAGAGAAGGGTGTTAAGGATGATGAGTACAAGTATAAGATGGTAAACTTTCAGCACTTGATGTACACAACAAATCTCCCAACAGATGAACCATTTATCTTAGCTACGCAAGCAAGACATGTTTGGTACATCAATGATCCCGCAGATGAAAACTGGAGTATTGTTGTTCCAATGTCTAGGAGAGATACCTATGATGTTTACACGACCATAGATGATAATTTCAGGACAAGGTTTAACCTTGACGATGGTTGCATATCCAGAGGAGCGGTTCATTATTGGCTGAGGGAGGATGTAGAGGGGGTAGTAGTGGAAGGTGAAGCCAATATGAATGTAGGCACTTGCGTACCAGGGATGGTTGAAGAGGATTCTTCCGAAGAATCCGACTGCGCTTCTTTATAATAGAGTGTAGTCCTTTTTGTTTTTGACGACTTTTTGGAAACCCTCCCACATTTTTGGCGTTTTTGGCTGAATTATAGAGTTGGGAAGCAATAACTACGTAGTACATGTAGGATACTCCAAACTCCTAAACCAAACTTCAGGTACATTCATATTATTTGTGTATGTTGTTATATTGTCAGTCATTTTTATTGCCACTACAAGGTCGTTATAATGGATGTTCCTCCATCTACATGCTTTATGTGTTTTTTTTGTGTTTCCATTTTAATTACACATTATAGATTCTCTTGCAAGGGCATTCGTTTGCTTATAAATGTATATACCATCTTTGACTTCAGAAAATGGCAAAAACCACTCGAGGAAAAGCAAATGCATCTCAGGATCTTGTCAACTCACCGTTGCGCCGTGTCACTAGGTCACTTGCACGTGCCACTCCATCACCCTCGGCGAAGGCTGTTCCAAGTAACCCTTCTTCGCCAACAGTGGTTCCAACAAAGAAGAATACGAGTAAGCGGCCAGGGGCACACGTATCACCTCTTCTGGACCGATTACGCAGGATTACTGAAGAGTGGGAAAAAGAGCGTGATTCCAAGTCGCCTTCAGCAGCACCTCCATCCACAGTCCGACGGAGTCTTCTTCAGGAATCACAAGCACCAGATCAGGAAGAGGTGCGCCTTATTCCCTTTTCTATTTTTTTAAGTACTATTATTTAAATTGTTAACTTTATTGTCACAGCTGGACAGCCATGACTCGGAAGATGATGAAACGATTGGTCCAACTGAAGATCAGGTCCCGACTAATTGCAATCTCGATGACGAAGGTGGAGCACATGAAGCAGAGGCTGAGGAACTCCGGGAGACATTGGGCAATGACATTCGCGAAGAGGATACAGCAATGCAGGATGATGGTACAGCTTGTTCATATATTGTGTAGATTTGTTTATATATTCTCATATGAATATATAACTACATACAACTGTTTCGGCCGTCACGTATTTTTTGTAGGCCCTCTTTCGAAAAAGAAAACTGGAAGAGGTGCCGCAAAGATGCCCCGTGGTTGGGGTGGTGACAAATTCCTTCAGGTGTTTGTGTCCGATGATGGCAAGCGGATAATAGGTACTGACCTTCATGGATATAAGAGTGCTCTCGGGGTGATTGCGAGAAACGGACTACGTCTTCCTCTCCACTATCCGACATTTCAACAGATCCCAGAGACAACCAAAAAGGAGATCTGGGCTGAGGTACAGGTATGTTGTGGACAATGAAAGTTATATTCGCTGCACGTAAATTTGCATCACTCCAATATCTTTGAGTCTTAAATGGATTTTAAATATTTGACGGGGTCAATGTTTTTTAGAAAAACTGCGGTCTACCTGATTATGCTGAGAAATTAGTGCTCTCTGACCTTAAAGACGCCTGGCGCCATTGGAAATACAATGTGAAGGCATCACATTTCACACCAATAGAGGATGATGAAGAGGCCCTGAAGATAGGTCCGAAAGAGCGTGTTGTTGCAGAACAGTGGCCATTGCTAGTGCAGTATTGGAAGGAAAAAAAAGTAAAGGTATGTGCCCGACAAAGTGCACTTTTTCTTAGGGCTTGTTACCCGACCAATCAAGTGCTTACGGGAATGGTGCTTGTAGGATATTGCTAGCAGAAATGCCGCCAATGCAGTGAAAAGAAGTTTTCCACATAGAACGGGCAGAAAATCATTTGACGCCTTGGCTGAGGAAGTCTTTCTCTGCTCTATTTTCCAGCTTATCATTACAAATCTTATTGCATGTATATGTTGTTGCTTCAGATTTTTCTTTGGTTGACCACTTTTAGTAAGGCCGAGATAAATGCTTGCAGATAAACGCCAAAGGCAAAGAACCCGATAGCTTGGAAATATGGATGGCATCCCGCACCAAGGGACAACACGCGGATAATGAAGAGACTGATGATATTTTGGTAACAACACTTATTTGTTAAGAGCAACACAGTTTTTTGTGTTTTCACCCTCATGTAATGTTGTTACGTTTGTTTTCAAACTCATTGTGTTATGCAGGAATATCTCAATTCTGAACTCAACAAAATCCCAACAGATCAGAGAACACCAGCTGTCCGTGAATCTTTATACCGACGAGCGCTTGCAGGGAAAAGAAAACGGCGAACGGCGGTTGATGTCGCAGCAACCTCTGCCCAAACCAAGACTCAATCTGCCAGCCATGTCGACAGTGAAGCCATGCAATCACAAATGGAGGAATTTCGCAATGGTATTGCTGAGATGAAGGCAGTCTTGTCTGAAATTAAAGCTATTAGAGATGAAGTGACTATGTACAAGGCATAAATTTCTTCGTGGACACCTCCTTCCATTGGACCATCTCCAGAAGCCACGGTAAGTATGGTAAACTCTATATGTAACATAGGGGAAAAATATCGACTCTACTAGTTGATGTGAATCCAATGTCTATTATGAAGGGAACTACCCGGTTGGCTGGAAGGAGGGGCGAGTCAGCTGGCACTAGTTCACTTGAATTGATGACGGTTTGTGTTATTAATATAATTGATGTCTACAATAATGTCGTATAATGGGTTTACGGTAAACTTTAATTTGTTTCATGCTCTTAACACAAAGGAATGTTGATAATAGTGAGAAATGTTATGGCGTAGATTGGAACACGTGTTCGTTTGCTCTCTCGAGGACTGGAGAAACGTGTGGTCGGCGAAGGAGTGATGCTAAGCCTCCCTACACCAAGTTCGTTTGCTCTTGATAAGTTGCCTTTTGATTGTGTAGTTGTACGGTGTGAAATGGACATAAAATTGATCATGTGTAAGATTGTTATATCTAGCATCTGGTTTTATTGTTGTAGGAGATGTCTATTTGGGTTTAAGATAGTTGTATGGTTGAACGTTATTTGTAGGGCTTGATTGGTGGTTATGTTATTGCTATTGGGGAGCTGTGTTCGTTTTTTTTACTGAAGGATTGCCCATCTATGATCGCGGTGATTTTTAATTATTAGTGTATGTGTAAGGGGAGCTGGCCCCTATGGTCCATGTTGTGTTATTTATTTTCATAATGTTCAGGGGCCAGCCTATTTTATTAGTGCATTTCGAGTTTATTTGTTATTATACTTGTTCCTAAGTTTGGGTCCCTAGATCAGGCTAAAGCGTAAGTTTTATTGTATTATATTCATCCTCGTAACTAGCACTCATTCAACCTATTTATATAGGTGATACCCTAGCCATTGTTAAGGTGTATGTTACAGCTGTAATGGTCCCGGAGACCGCACTTATCCTCCCAACTAATGCTGGAGCGAAAATTCTCGGTGACGTACTCGATGGAGATAATATCGAGTGGATTTACCAGGATGTACGCAATTTTTTATTTACTTTATTCTTTTCGAAATTAAATTACTTCAATTTCGATAATAAATGCTTATATATTATTAAAAACACATTGCAGTTGGTTCGTCGCCCGTGATTGCAGCCTCCATGATTCTGCACTCGACTAGCTGGGTCATTGATAGTAGTGTTTATGAGTTGCCCTTAAGATCGTACTTCCGTATGATATCATAATTATCTATTTACGTATTACTTTTGGGTTTTGCGTATCGTTATTTAGTAGGTTGTTATGTTGGTGTACGGATTGGTGTTTTGTTGGGATGTTTTGTTAGCACCGTTGACGACTAATATTTTATTTTTCGCTGGACTATGAACATTGTTGCATTGATGACCATGTGTAGTATTTGGATGGATTAAGAAACAGTTATGATAAGATTAAGTTTTAAATTATTTGTCTCGCAGATTAATAATACAGACTAATGGAATTTATTTATGGCGACAAAACTAATATGCCACACAGGGACGTCTTTTGTATCGTATTTTTAGTTACGGACAGTGGCCGGTACAAATGATAATGAATGGTTGCCTGACTTTTGTCACGATTTTTTGTTGCGGAGTAATTTCGTAACAAATAACTTATTTGTTACGGGGCAGTCCTTTCGTAATGTATTTTTTTTACGGACACATCTTGTAACAAGAAGTTTTCTGACAATATTAGACATTTGTAACGCATTTTTTGATTCGAACATATGTCGTAACAAATATTTTTCTGACAGTATTCAACTTTTGTTCCGCAGTATTTGTGTCGGATATTTGTCGGTTCAAATACATGATTGATGTTTTTGTTACATACCAAAAAATGTAACAAATATAATTAACACGTGCTTATTTTGAGAGTTGACCACCTAATATTTGTTACGGATTTTGTTGCGACACGAACTTTTTGTACCGCGATTTTTCGTAGCGGTCAGAATCCGTAACAAAGTCGACACAAAAAGCTACTTTGCACGAAAAATGAGTTTTAGTTACGAATATTTGATCGCTACAAAAAGACATTTTTTTGGTAGTGGAGGCAGAGGTAGTGGTGGCGGTGGTGTCGTCCGATGAGCATCGGTGGATGGCGAAACAAGGCGGCGGCGCAGTGGGGACAAATAAATCATAAATTGGCTCTGATACCATGTTTGAATATTTATGAAAAAATAGAAATTGTATTATTAACCAAAAAGAGAGTTACAATGTTCATATTATCGGTATATATATGGCCCCAAATGAAAATATGCAAAAATATGCTGAAAGCGATAATTAATATTTATATTACAAAATGAAGGCCACCCCATAAGGTCGTAAACTTCCTCTCTTGATGCAAACTGTTTATGGGCGAGCACAAGCTATATCAATATCAGCACAAACTGAAGGTCATGACATTCTTCTTAGCCAAAGAATTAATTTTACAGTGTGTTTATAGATTTATGTTGTTATTGGTCAAATTTGCAAGTACTATAATTTTATGTGGATATAAGAAGAAAGACAACGGTAAAGTATTTTAGTTATGTTTGAGTGTGTAGTTTGATCAACCTACTATTCATTCATATGATCATGATAAAATTATCGAAATTGAGGTTTTTATATATCTTATTGAATATGTGCCAAGTAAATAGTAAAATTTTTATTTGAAATAGA